AAGCCAAGGTTCAGAGAGGTATAACACAACATCCATAAGTAAGCACTGGAACAGTGTTTGAGTTGTAACTTCAAATTTGGTATGCTTCTAATGATTATTGCCAAATTTATTTTATTTATTTATTTATTTTTATTTTTTTAAAATTTATTTATTTATTAAGGATTTCTGCCTCCTCCCCGCCACCGATTGCCAAATTTATTAAGTCACTTAAAGGCTAAGCAACAAGAAATTCGCAAAATTAAATAATTTGGTGTTTTAAAATATGAGAAATTGCTTGATTAAAATGGAAGTATAAGTCTCATGTATAAATTCTGCAAATTTTACTGTTTTTCTTTTCTAAAACATTGTTTGTTTGTGTGTGTGTGTGTGTGTGTGTGAGCCCACACACGCACATGACGTATGTGGGCAATGCATGTGTCATGGAGCACAGGTGGAGGGCTGAAGACAACTTGGTGCAGTTGGTGCTCCTCTCTCACCTTTACATGAGTTCTAGGAATTGAACTTGCCACTTCTGTTGCAAGCTTCTCTACCCCCTGAGCAATCTAACCAGTTTAAAATTTTTATTTGCAAAAGAAAATATTGCAACTTTTGGTTGTTTTCTTGGGACAGTCTTGATATATTGCTCAGGCTGGTCTTGAACTTACGATGTAGTCCTGTTTGTTTACGATGAAGATTGTCCTGCCTCAGTCTCTAGAGTGTTGAAATTACAGGCATGTGTTACCACGCCCGGCTTTACATTGTAAAAATAAAATCATAAGTAATCTGTTGCAATTCTCCCCCACCTCAGGTTTTATTCTGAAAGTGTCTAGCATTGCTGAAGTCAACAAAGCAGTGGAAACTGGATCAGAGAATGGCAAATACCTATGTCACTGCGTCTGATGGGTACTGCCTTGCTGAACCAGCACAGCATTTCGGTATGTAATAAGACATGTAGTAGATCTGTTAAAACACTGTGTGTGTGTGTGTGTGTGTGTGTGTGTGTGTGTATGTGTGTGTGTGTGTGTCTGGAGAGATAGCTCAGCAGTTAAGCTAAGCTAAGCACTCAGACCAGACTCTGATTCCCAGCTCCCATAAGCTGTCTCACAACTTATGTCCCAGTTCCAGTGGGTTCAGTCCCCTTCCCTGGCCTCTTCAAGCACCAGGCACACCAGAAGTGCACAGACATATATTAATGCAAAATTCTCTCACACACAAAATAAATAAATCTAAAAAATGTATTCAATTAAAAATTAACTTGCAAGAATTGAAGTTAGGGGGGCTGGAGAGATGGCTCAGTGGTTAAGAGCATTGCCTGCTCTTCCAAAGGTCCTGAGTTCAATTCCCAGCAACCACATGGTGGCTCACAACCATCTGGAATGAGGTCTGGTGCCCTCTTCTGGCCTGCAGACATACACACAGACAGAATATTGTATACATAATAAATAAATAAATATAAAAAAATCCTTGATTACATTTAAAAAAAAGAATTGAAGTTAGTTTTAAGGACAAATAGAGGTAAGCTTTTATGTTAAATTGAACCTGAACTAAAGGTTCATTGAAAAAATTGTAAAGATTAGTTACTTATTCTCTATTTTACGTGTATGTCTCTGTGTGACTGAGTGGGTCTTCTGTGTAACAAGAGTGTAGGTGCCTGGGAAGGTGAGAAGAGAATTATACCAAGAGGCATCTCTCTGTATGACTTGGATGGGCAGGTGTTTGCAAAGTACCAAGGACATTTCTAGATAAGGAGCCCAGGCAATGGCCTAGTTAACACAGGACTTATGGGGCATGGCAGTGGTCAGCCTGCCTCTGGGCCTGTGTGTGGGATGCTGAATGTGTTCTTACTGTGTCTGTAGCCTTCTCTGCTTAGGGCTTTGCTTTCTAGAAGACTTGTTTCCAAGAGGGACATATTTCCTACTTATGTGTTGAGACAGTAATCATAACAAAGGAAATGCAAAAGGTAGGGGAAAAATCAATTTAAAATCTGGGATATGGGGCTGGAGAGATGGCTCAGTGGTTAAGAGCATTGCCTGCTCTTCCAAAGGTCCTGAGTTCAATTCCTAGCAACCACATGGTGGCTCACAACCATCTGTAATGAGGTCTGTGCCCTCTTCTGGCCTGCAGATATACACACAGACAGAATATTGTATACATAATAAATAAATATTTAAAAAAAATAAAATCTGGGATATATTTCCTTTTCCCTAAGGAGAGAGACTAGATTAGTGTATCCACCACTAGCAACTAATGCCTTTTCTTCTGGCTCCTAATCCACCTCTGTACTCTTCTGGGGTGATAGCATCTATTCTGTATTGTAGTTCTATATACTGTGCTCCTATTATGTTAGACAGGAAGCCCTAATTTGCAGTGTTGAACTAACATAACTAACATTCTGTTGAACATAAAACATTTTGAAGTTTGAAAACAATCACGAACATTTGATATTTATTTATTTATTCTTTTTCTGTGTTAATAAAACTAGATATTTTGCCAGAACAAATCCACTACCAGCTGTGTGACACCGATTTCCAAGACCCACCCTATTGTCCTTATTCTACTGCTCAGTTCCCTCCAGCTCTACAGTCCCCATCTTTACAATGCCATTTCAACACATATGGCTTGGATCCACACTACGGTGGTGGCGGTTGGAGTGGACTTGATGCTCGTGAATCGAGTCAGTCCACTTACATGGTCGTTCACAATGAGGAGGATGGATTCCCTGGGATACAAAGGTCCAGACCAACTTGTTCTTTCCGCTGGAAGGGGCAGGATGAGCTCTGCGTGGTCTGTGGTGATAAGGCATCTGGATATCACTACAACGCACTTACTTGTGAAGGCTGCAAAGGTAAGGGCTAAGTCACAGCAAAACAGACAGCGCTGCACACTTCTGGTGTGCACACACAGGCAGAACACCCACACATGTAGAAAATACTTCAGAAAACTTGAGCAATCATGGCTTCTCGGCCTTTGGGCTAAGATCAAGTGTAAGCCATGAGAAACAAAACCAGGCAGAAGCAAGTTTAAAGGGATCAATTTGTATCAAAGGCAGGAGAATAAAATGTTAAGTTTAGGGTTAGTTTCTCTCTTTCCTTCCTTCTGTCCTTCCTTCCTTTATTCTTTCTTTTCTTTTCTTTCTTTCTTTTTTTAAACAGGGTCTCAGTGTGTAGACCTGGTTGGCCTAGAACTCACTGTGTAGACCAGGTTGGCCTTGAACCCTAAGAGATCTGCTTGCTTCTGCCTTCTAAGTGCTGGAATTAAAGGTGCTGACATGTACCACCATGCCAGATCCTAAGGTTACTTTCTTTCCTTCCCTTCCTCCTCCTCCTCCTCCTCCTCCTCCTCCTCCTCCTCCTCCTCCTCTTCTTCTTCTTCTTCTTCTTCTTCTGTTTCTTCTCCCTTTTTGAGACCAGGTCTTTCTATGCAGTCCTGGCTGGCCTGGAACTCATTGTAAAGACCAGGCTCTCCTTGAATTCGCAGACATCCACCTGCCTCTGTCTCCCAAGTGCTGATACTAAGGGCCTTCCCTGCCTCTTCATTTTTGATGAGGAGTTTCACATTTCAGTATCAAACTCAACACATACAAGCGAAGGCTTTCCTTTTTCCTGGAAGAATTTGATGCTGGAACAATACATGACCTTTTATTAAGATCAGAATGTTAATCATGACATCTTTTTATGTGGTTGAAATAATTTACACTCTTGGAGAAAATCTGAAATAAATGACTTTTCTGATTCTAAGTCAAAAGACTTTTTTTTCTTTGTAAAGAAAGAGAAGAAATTGAAAGTCTGGATGCAAAAGGCAGTGTTTGTGAAGAGTAAGAGTCGTCCATTCTAATGGTTATAAGCAGTCTGGCCCTTCCTTAACCAATAAGCATGGGGATGGGAATGCAGGCAGGTGCCAGGGCACTTAGCACCTCATTTTGTATCCTAGCACCCTCAGGAACTAACCAATCCAAACAATAGAAAACAGTTAGGGCAATGTAACATAAACAAACATGTATGTTCAGGGTAAAATTTTATCTCTGAGTCTTCTCAAAACTTGCAAAGAATTGCCAAATGGAGACTACAGGAAATGAAGTAACAGCATCCTGAGTAGCTGGGCAGGGCAAGGCTGCTTTTGAATTCGGCATCTCACGGCTGAAACTGAGCGGAACAACGAGGCACAGTTTTGAAAACCGAAGCTGAGCTTTTATTTTGTTGAATTGAAATCATGAAACAACTCTCTCAAGTGTCTACCGACAGTGAATATGTGGCAGAACTTTAGAAGGGGCATTGACTAAGCTGGCAACCTCGCTGGAGGGAGCAGAAAATGGGAGGGATAAGGTGTGAAGCTGGAGAGGGAAGAGAAGGGCTTTCTCCTCAGAAGCGGAAGTGCTCCACAAGGGGGCGGGACAGTCTGGAGGGGTGCTCCTGCCTTTGTGGGCTGAAATCAAAATGTGGAGGTCTTAGGAAAGAGAGGCTTTTCTGACATTTTTGTTTTAGATGTTCACATATTCTATCAAAGGAACCTTGAGTGATGCTCTGTGGGATCTTGATATTCTGTAAAAGTTTAAAAAATTCTTACAGGTAATTTACCTATAGTAGAATAGAATTATCTTAATGTGATAATCTCTAGATGTTATAGCATAAGGGACAACCTCATGAAGGACTGAGTACACCGATTGGGAAGAATCAGGTAACTTTCCAGATAATGTATATTTAAGAAATATACATTTTATTTTATTGAAACAATCTAGTTAACTTGATTACTTTATTATGAAGGTAAAATGTTAATAAAATGAGCAGTAGCTAAAAATATCAAAACCTTTGTCCTTAGGTTTTTTCCGCCGTAGCATCACCAAAAATGCAGTCTACAGTTGCAAGAATGGCGGCCACTGTGAAATGGATATGTACATGCGTAGAAAATGCCAAGAGTGCAGACTGAAAAAGTGCAAGGCAGTGGGGATGTTGGCAGAATGTAAGTACTATTGTGTTTGTGGCTTGGTTTTGTTTTTCTGAGGGGGATTCGGCTTTTTCCCAACTTTAATTACCAGGCCAGGAAGTCACCGTGATCACGCAGGTGGTTTCCCGGGGCAGGGCTCACCCATTGCGCCGGGATGTACTGACCCCTATGATTTCCACAAATGTGGGAAGCTCAGCTGCATAATTTGTATTGGTGTGTGTGTGGGGGGCTGCTTTCACACTCCCCTCTGTACAATAACATTGAACTTAAAAATAATAAAATAGCCAGGTGGTGATGGCTCATGCTTTCAATCCCAGCACTCGGGAGGCAGAGGCAGGTGGATCTCTGTGAGTTTGAGGCCAGCCTGTTCTACAGAGGGAGTTCTAGGATAGCCAGGGCTGTTACACAGAGAAACTCCATCTCAAAAAAACCAAAAAAATAAAATAAAAATTCCAACCTTATTGAAAATGTAAAGCATTCTTTAAGAGTTACTTTGAATATTGTCATGTTTGTTTATATATGGACACATGCACACCACACACATATGTACATTGATTGCTCAGTATGGATGGCATTTTAAATTTAAGCAGTGATTTCCATAAACTTTTCTCTGTACTATTTTGCTCTAATGTTGGAATCAATCAAAGAGTCATTTTAATTAGAAGTTCTTTTGGGGCTGGAGAGTAAGCTCAGCAGTTAACGGCACTTAGTGCTCTTGCCCAGTTCCTAGTCTGAGTGACAATTATTATTATTATTATTATTTTGGTTTTTCGAGACAGGGTTTCTCTGTGGTTTTTGAGCCTGTCCTGGAACTAGCTCTTGTAGACCAGGCTGGTCTCGAACTCACAGAGATCCGCCTGCCACTGCTTCCCGAGTGCTGGGATTAAAGGCATGCACCACCGCCCGGCTCTGAGTGGCAATTATTCACAGCCCCAGTTACAGAGGATCCAGCACCCTCTTCTGACCTCTGCAGGAACCAGGAGTGCAAGCAACACACCACATAAAATAAAATAAAATAAAATAAAATAAAATAAAATAGCACAATAATTTAAATGATCTTGTATTTTTATGTTACTTAACCTAAAATTATATACTGAGTGGAAAAAGTGCAAAATTTAAAGTTAGTAGTTCTCAAAAGCCTTCCTGATATTCAGGTATATACAGCCCATTATTAGTTAACACATGGCTATCGGGACCTGTCTCCAAATACCCTTAGAGATTAGCACGTTAACATATGAACACATGGGAGACACAATTCAGTCCGAAGAAACCTGGAAAAAATTGTCTTTTATTTATTAATTTATTTTATAGACAGGATCTCATTATGTAGCTGGCCTGGAGCTTGAGAAGTATGCCAGGCTGGCCTCAAACTCATCGAGATCCCCCTGCCTCTGCCCTCCAAGTGCTAGGATTAATAATGTCTGCCACCGTACCTGGACCAAAAATTGCCTTTTAACCTGTATCAGAAAATGCTTGTGAGAGGAACTTGAGTCTTCTGAGGGACTCTATAAGCAAACGAAGCATCCTTTGCTGTAACTTCAAGGAATTCTTGTAAGCAGATGCTGTGCTTTGTTTCCTGGCCACACAGACGCGAATAATCGCACGAAAACTAGATTACTTACAACATTATTTGGCTGATGGCTCAGGCATATTTCTAGACAGTTCTTACATCTTAAATTAACCCACTTCTATTATTTTATATTTTGCCATGAGGCTCGTGGCTTGTTATCTCTTGCCTCTTGAGTGACTACATGACATCTTTCTCCTTTGGTAGCAAATGGCGTCTCTTTGATTTCACCTACTCTCTCTCTATATATCTCTGTTCAGATTTTCTGCCTGGCTTTATTCTGCCCTGCCATAGGCCAAAGAAGCTTCTTTCTTTATCAATGGTAATAAAACATATTCATAGCATACAGAGGGGAATCCCACATCAAATCGTGGCAAGATGAAGCAAAAGAATTGATGAGCATGATTATTGAATTGGTGAACATAAGCCTTATTCACATTATTCTTGCCATCCATATCCTGCCGCCATTGCTGTAGCTCTTTACACCACATTTATCCAGTTGGCCTAATACTGTTGTGTGTTTAGTACTTTGAGCTCCCTTCCTCTTCTCCACTTCCTCCCCTTCTCTTCTTCCTCTTCTTTCTCCTTCTTTTCTCCTCTCTTCCCCCCTCATCCTTCTTCTCCTCCTTTCCCCTTCCTTCCCCCTTTCTTCTTCTTCTTCCTCCTTAGTTTGCCTTCTTGTGGCATTGAAGGTTGAGCTCAGGTTTCCCACATATTTTACAATCTACTACTAAGCTACACCCATAGACTCCTTTTCTACTTAAAAAAAAAATTGAAGACAGGTTCTGTCCAAGTTTCCAAGGCTGGATTCAGTGTGTGACCCTCTTGTTATGGTCTCTTGAGTTACCGGTTACCGGTGGGTTACCGGTGCATACTAACATGTCCAATACCTGATAGGTTTAAAATGGTTTCCTATTTTTGGGTATTCTTGTTCTCTGACAAATAATACTTAGAAGGATTTTAAGGTTTTTGTTTTGTGGTATATTTCAGTTCCTCATTTATTTTTATTTAATAGGTGTGTTTTAAATATTTATGAATACGACAGGTATATTGATACTTGTATAATTTTGACAAGTGACTTATGGTAGCTGTTGCTGGTCCAGTAAAGGCACCAATGGACGATTAAACGTTCTATAAAAGCAGTAATCGTCAGGCTGGAGAAACAGCTCAGCATTTAAGAACCTGCACTGCTCTTGCAGAAGACGTGAGTTCAGGTCCCAGCACCCACATTGTGGGGCTCACAACCGAGAATAATTCCAGCTCAAGGGGATGTGACTCTTCTGGCATCTGTGGGCACCTGCAGTCATGGGTGCGTAACCACACACAAACTCATATAAAGAATTAAAAGTAAATCTTTAAAAACAAACAAACAAAACAATCCTCAAATAAATATTATTCACATTTGAAAAATAACTAAATGCTTTGTCTGGCTTGGAGGAGAAATTGACTTAGCTTATTTTGAAAATCCTAAGAGTTTTTCTTAGTAAAGCCAGCAATAAAAGTTATAGATAGGTAATTCTACTATTCTGTAAAATGACAATCTCATTTCCAAGATGCAATTAATGTGTAAATTTTTTGTGTAAAAATCTAAACATAGTTTGGAAATGAAAAATTAGCTCTCAGTTTTTGTTTGGTATGACTGTATTTCAAGGAGACATATAGCCATGAAAGGAAAGTAATACCGGACAGTTAGTTAAAGCACACATGCACAGGAGACTTCTATGATCGTATTTAAGAGCATTTTCATCAAATCCTACAGTATTATCTTCTGAGATGAAAATACTTTGTGTGAATTTTGTAACCTCACAGGTTTGCTCACAGAGATCCAGTGTAAGTCAAAGAGGCTTCGCAAGAACTTCAAGCAGAAGATTGCCCTTTACTCGGACGTCCAAGGGGAAGATGACGGAGCAGACAGCAAGCTTGTATCATCCACTACCAGACCTGGAAAAGGGGCAAGACCTTTCTTCCATACCGTATGCTGTTTCTTTATTGACAATGGGTGTGCTAGGCACACCTTACGGGTGCCCTCTGTTTCCTTACAGGTTCAGGAAAGCATGACACTAACTCAAGAGGAACATCATCTTATGAATACCATAGTGACTGCTCACCAGCAATCCACGGCCCCTCTAGGGGAAACAAGTACGCTTGTATGTATCCATCACTGGCAAGAGATAACTTGTAATGACTCTTATTAGGAAATGATACCAAAAATGGTTAAAATGTCAGTAATTATCTGAAAGAAAATACCATTTATCATTTTGATTCCTTTTTTATGGATTAGCTGCAGGAGTATTCCAACCCTGAACTAAGTTTTCTGAGACTCTCCGAGGCAGCAGTCCTGCATGTACATATGCTGGTGAATTTTACCAAGGGACTCCCAGGTAAAACTCTGTTTCATTATTTTTTAAAGATTTATTTTTATTTTTGGTGTTATGTACATTTTGTCTGCAAGTATGCACTCATACCATGTACACACCATATCATGGAGGTCAGAAGAGAATGTGGGATCCCATGGAACTGGAGTTACTGACGGTTGTGAGTCACCATGTGGGTGCTGGAAACCAAACCCAGGTCCTCTGCAAGAATAACAAATGCTCACAACCACTGAGCTATCTCTCCAGCCCCAAATTCTCTGTTTTTAAGGGAAAGGGGTAGCACAGCAAAACAAAACCTCTAATGTGAGACTGATTACAGAGCTCAGGGGCAGGGCACTCATCTAATGTGGGGGAGGCCCTGGCTTCTGTAGAAAACTTTCTTTTCCCAGTAATGCTACTTCTAACTTAAGAAAAAAAGCTTATTTTATCTACTTCAATTAATCAGGTGGGTGTTAATCTAAATATTTACAAAATTTATTATAATGATGTAGTTTTTTTAGATGAATCAGGAAACAAAGAAATTCCTTACAGTAAGTACTAGAACAAGTCACAGTTGACTAAAACCTAGTCATATATAACTCAGTTTCTTTATATTTGCAGGTACAATAGCACACTGTAAAATTACATTCTTCAAGGCTAAAGCAGCTATATTTGATTTGTTATTGCTGGAAGAGAAGTGTCACCTAGTTCTGATGAGAGTCTAAAATATTACCACGTAGAATCAATAATTTTATTCAGATTTGAATTTATGTGTTGTGATTATTCCCAAGAAGCACTTAGGGATGATAGGTAAAGAAATATTTTTTAAACACTGAATTCATGAATATTACCTTTGGATTATCTTGTTTCTTCATGCCTTGTATTGTTTAAGGATTTGAAAATTTAACCAGTGAGGATCAGAGTACATTGCAGAAGGAGTCGAAGACTGAAGTGATGTTCCTTCATGCAGCCCAGCTTTACAGCAGGAAAGAATCAACCTCTGGAAGTAAAAAGAAGAAAAGATTTTCATCTAACTTTCACATATCATGTTAAACTTAGCAACAAATGATGCAATATTAAGTATTCACCTATACAAACACATTTTTAGACACTGGTTTTTGGAAATAGACTCTCATGTACCTTAGTCGTCCTAGAACTCACTATATAGACAAGGAGCATCTTGAACTCCTGATGCTCCTGCTCCTGCCTGCCAGCTGATGAGACTACGTATGTATGTCTCTATGCCTGGTGTATGCGGTGCTGAGGATGGGGCCCACAGCCTTGTGCATGCTAAGCAAGAATTCTACTCATTGAGTGATATCA